TTTAAATTTTTTGTCAAGTTCCCTATTACATTTTACAATAATTACATCCATCCAAATAAGCAAGGTACATACAATTTGAAACAATTCAGTGAATTAATTAGGATTTTCAAAAAAGAAACTTAAATTTAGCTTTAAAGCGCTTTTTTTCTTTGGTGTTTCTTATTTCTAATGGTATCCTATTATAAAGTTTTGGACCCAAATAACTTGCAATATGTTGTCCCAAACTATTGTTACAAAAAGTTATATTTAAAAGACGATTTTCATTACCTCTAGTGCTGTAGTTATGACTAATATATTGTGACACATACTTACTAATAATATGAACAAAATTACACACACTTGAAATATAGTAAACAAGTAGGATACAATCTTGGCTTATTGAGTATAATTTTAAGAATTTAATTTTGTATTTTCAATATACAAAATTTGTTTAGTGGTTTCAGATACCTATACAGTGTCATTACTTAAGTGTGCAACATATAGGATTTTTTTTTAGTAATAGCAAAATCAAAATTCAAACAAGGCCAAAAGTTGTGCATGTCTGATAATCATATAAGGTGCACTTAGAATGCTATGGTGGGTGAGCTAACGAGTACAAGTCAAAATTTTGCGAAAATGAGTTTAAGTCATTTTGGTATATATTTTCGGTTCCTACATCGACTGGTCCAAACAGTATTAGTCAATTTATTTGAAATACTTTACTTTTAATTTCAATCCACATAGTTTAACTTAAAAGGAATTTTATTGTGTTGGCATATCAGTATAAGTTGAATTGTACTATATAGATTATACACTATTTAATAATAAAATTCAAATAGTACAAGTAGACTTATACTATTCCTATCCTGATTTTGTTGGTCGACTTATACTTTTAGTACCATTTGGTGACCAAAGAGGTTATGTTATCAGCAAAAAAAAAGTGTTTTGTGAAAAAGAGTTGGCCTTCTTTTCCAGTTTTTGCAAATATTAAATTTTGGGTTGAGCAAAACTAGTATAAGTCATTTCTGTAATAAAAAAAAAACAACAAAAAAAAAATAAAAAAATAGATTATCTCTAATAAAAAAACACCTTTGTAAAGTTAAAAATTTGATTCGTCCGAAACAGCCACAAAAAATCCGATTATTTTAAAGTCTAATATTTCGAAAGCATTTTTCTTGATTTGTCTAATTTTGACTTGTACTCTTTAGCCCACTCACCATAGAATGGTTGCAAGTCAAACAGCATACAGGGTAGCTCAAAAAATATCAAAATTGTAGTAATATTTACCTAAATAAAATAAAACTGTTGCACTTTAAAGAGAGTTTTTTTAGTATTGATTTTATCATTACTAATGTTTTAACTTGTTAAAAAAAAAATTGCGACATTTTAAAGTTGTGTTGAATATCATTGCGACAAACATGAATTTTGTGATTCCATAAAAAATTAAAAATCTAAGTTAATTTTACAAATATGCTTGAATTTGAACAAAGTTATGTAAAATTGATTTGATTTTAATTAATTTTTGAAAGTATTAAGGGCGGAAATGAAAAAAAAAAAAAAATATATATAGAAATTATAGATTTTTTTCGAAAGAAAATCAAAAAAATCTTAGGAGGCTATGTTTTGGTATTTAGGCATAAATTTTAATTCTAAACAACTTTTCTCTATAACATTTTGCTGAATTTCCTAAAATAAAGGTGCTTTACTTTACGGTACAGCTTTGATATTGTTTGAGCTACCCTGTATGCTGTTTGACTTGCAACCATTCCAAGTGCACCTAATATAATTATCAGACATGCACCAACTTTTGGCCTTGTTTGTATTTGGGTTGTGCTATTACTAAAAAAAATCCCCATATGTTGCACACTTAAAAAATCACACTGTATATTATATGCCCCACCCAGAGTTGGAAAAAACCTATTAATTTGAAAAAATATGAATAGGTTTTTAGGTTTTTTAGGTTTTTTAAGGTTTTTTAGGTTTTTTGATAAGGTGAGTATGTTGTCGGACATATGTACTTAAGCTAAACTAGGTAATAACTATTCAATTTATTTTTGGAAATAGTATCAGTGAATAAAAACATGTTTATAATAATGACATTATTGATTAAATCACGATTAAAGAATATGAAACAAAAACAAAACTCTATGTTGCAGAAGTTCATGGTACCTAAGTATTTGAAAATAAGCAAAATATTCAAATACTCAATATACCGAGCGAGGTATCTACCCTATCAGGTTGTAAAAGAACAGGTGACTAGAAAAAAAAAAGTAATATCAAACAAAAGTGTATCACATACAACAGATAGGTAAATCAAAATATCACATGCTCAGAAACATAAACTATAGTAACTAAACTAACTTATACTATAAAGACCTTGCCTTGATCAAGAGAGTCTCTTGATGAGATGACTATAGTTCACCGTCAGTACTGTTTTCAGCACTATCATCGAGTTCATCATCACTGTCTTTAAATTTTGTTAAAATGTTCCCATTTGTTTTAACGTACACCAATTTCTGTACCCGATTTTAGGAGAGTCTGTTTCTCAACTTAGAGTGAATGAAACTAAAAGTTGAAAAATTTCTCTCCGAAGAGGAACTAGATACACACATTGAGAAAATTTTTAATGCAATTTTGTGTAAATTTTTATAATCAGATCCATCCAACCTCCAAAATTCCAATATTGTTTTTTTTTCTTTTCATCAACATTTGGTACTGTAACGTATTCCTGTCCTTTTGATCCTCTGCCCATAGTCTAAAATGTGTGACTTCTCGTATCTGTAACTTGTCCATCCATATCAAATTTTGTGATGAAATCTTCGAGTTCTTCCCTTAAAGTTCTTTCCATTGCATTACCAGCGAATCTGGGATCTAGTAAATATCCTAATCCATGAGCATCACCATAAATAAATTGAAATCTATCATTGATTCCATTTTTGATAAAGGAAATCTCAATAGCTATAAGATGCTGTCCTGCATCATCGGAATCAAAATATTTGGGCGATTCTAAGAATTCGAAATAAACTTCTGAAATTAGCACATTGTTGCCTTGAAATTTTGTTGTCAATGAAGTTATTTTTTCGAGGATAAATACGCATTTTTTTAATTTGATTACAAGATTTTTGTCAGCTGTTGTGTCTTTTATAGCTGCTTTGATTTCCGTCTGACCTTGTAATCCAGTAACGAAATCTCTGGCGTGTACCATAGTATGGAGAATATCTTCTGATGCAAGAATTGATTTTGAGCAATTATAAATAGTACTCCATCTTGTTTTAGCTGGTAGCACTAGTCCCTGTACTTTTTTAAATTTTTGTGCCAATTTCAAATCATGGTTTTGGGCATGGTGACTCTTGAAAAAAGTTTCCAGGTTTTTGCATTTGTTGACGAAGGAAGATAACTCCCCCAATGGCAATTATAAGGTTCGTTCCAACCCCCCGTTTTCGTATCGTCATGAAACGGTTTCGGAACTGTTAGGATCGATTGCAGGCGCATGCGTTGACCTTGCACGGTTTTATCTTGGTACAGAAACAACGGGTAGTTGGAACGGTTTCATGATCGTTTTCGTAATGACGACAGTTCAAATAACTTTAACCCTAAATTTGTTTGTTTGCAAATTAAAATAGAAGAATATAGGATTAGGATTACAAAATAATATATAAAAAAGGAAAATCGAACACCAACGCTGATTCATTATCAAGAATCTAAAACTAAATCCTTGCAAGCTGATAACATCAAGGATTAGCAAATAGCTGATAATAAATTTTGTACTTTTTTTCACTTGAAAAAATAAAAATGCTACAGTTTTATAAGTTAGATTGGAAATTGGTTGTTTAACAACAACATGAACAACAAAAACAGGTGACAAAAATTGAATTACGCATGTCAGTCATGAATCAGTCCACGCGGTTCTTGCTTTCCACTCGGGATCGAAATGACGGTGCTAAAACCAGTTCTCGAACGATCCCAGGTTTGGTTGGAACGCCAACGAAACTGTACGGTAAACGATCATCTCTCGGTTGGAACGCGTTTAACCTATGGCGCATGACCGTGACCGTACATTGTACGGTTTTTGGCTGGGTTGGAACGAACCTATAGGTGACCTCTGTTTGGTTTCATCTCCAAAAAGGTCTTTTACCAATAAATGTAGGCAGTGGCAGACACATCCATGAAAAAACTTTTTAGGGTACTTCCTTTCCAAAATTTTCCAAGCTAATTTATTGGCTGCTGCATTGTCTGTTACAACCCCAGCAATTTCAGTCTGCTCTTCTCTAAAACTTTCTATTACACGACTTATGTCGTCAGCGAGCCATTGTCCTGTATGTCCTTGTGCTCCACTGTTCACAGATTCCAAAAAATAGGTGTTGGTTGGTGAAGCACCCATATAGTTGACTACTGGTTCACCTATAATATCAAAAAAACTTTTTTTTTTTTTATAACTGTGGCTTTGATCTTACTTTTAACATTTGTCCAAGAGTCAGTGACAATACATATGTGTTTTGGTAAAGCTTTTCTACATATATTGACAGCCCTTGCCAGGTGCTCATCCTCTACCCTGACAAAACTTGTCCCTGTCTTATAGAAAAACATGGCCATGTTTGTTTGGAATTTTTTCATTTCGGATTCTGACATCAGTGGAATGCCGAAGGTTTTCATTGTAGTTTGCTTAGTTTTTGCCTTTGATACTGTAGGTACCACCACCGGAGTCTGATCTGTGTGGAAAATACAAAAAAAACACATTCGACTGGAGCTACAGGTCCAAATGTAACAAAACGACCCAGCCTGTACATAACATACTTATCTTGGTACTTACTTTCTGAAGCAGCCGAAGTGTCGCCATCATCGCCATGTCCATGGTGTTTTTTTGAAGGAAAGTCTGGACGGGATCAAACATCAACCTTCTAAACGTAATGCACCTTATCAAATGATTTTTTGCGTATTCTGATTTTTTATGTTGTTAATCTGCAATGTTTGCATCTGGCAGATTTCAGTGTATGGGGGTTTTCTTCATCGGTAAATAGGTACTATAAAGTGGAACCTTTTCGTCCGGCTTTTCTTTTTGCGCCCTCCTGGCCACTACTTGTGCTCGGCTGCGGTTTATTTGGGGGTTCGTTTTCATTAGTTTCGGATTCTGACTCTGACGAACTCATTTCTAAAATAAATTCTAATCCGAATTTGTATTTTATACTAATCTTATTCTTAAAAGATTCAATTTAAAGTAAAGTATAAAACGTATCTTACCTGGCCAGTTCACTAAAAATTAAGCACAGCACAATAATTGAGAAAAGTAAAAAACATCCACAAAATCTGAAATGCAAATCAATAACTTAACTTAACGCACAAGTAAGTACAAGTTAACAAGTAAGTAACAAGTTTCAACTTTGCAATTTTTGGTAACAAACACGGAGGTGGCGCCACTATAAAAACTTTCAAACTAAAAAATACCCCCAAGTAAGGTATCTATGTTTTATAAACTGATAGTTCATTATTTCGATAGTAGATGGCAGAATTTGCATTTTCACATGAAATTATAACCTCACTTTTTATTGGAGAAAAAAAACCTAAAATACCCACTAAACATTTTTCAGTTTCTGAAATGTATCAGAAACGTATATTTAAAGCTTGAAATGTTTCATCAAACTGCACATAAATGTGTCAGAAATGTATATGTAACTGAAAATGTCCTACCTCAGAAATGTTTCATTGTAACATTGCAGGGAAACATTTTGAAACGTTACATATTAATCATACCAAAACTTCTTTTCAAAAATGTTCATGTAACGTTTCAAGTTAACGATTATGAAATGCTTCAAAATTACAGTTCAGGTACGTTACAAAACAATATAAATAGGCAAAATAAATAATACTACAATTTCATGTAAAAAATAAAATACTGTATTTATTCGAAGAGATCTGTTATAATATCTTCTAATAATTATTATTATTCCATTCCTTCCACAGTGGCAGCCTAAAAGTGAAAGAAAAAATATAATTAGTGCTAGGATCAATTGTTTTATGTAATAAAAAATAAATGAACGAGTTCACGCCTTGTATAAATGAAAAAAAACCTTACCCGGTTTTGGTTTTCTTTGTTTACTGCTGCTAGCGATCTTTCAAATCTCAGCTTTCCTTGCCTGAACCACAAACCCACTTCTGCTTGAAATTCGGCATCCGTAGTACTACCAAATTTTTTTCTTGTAGCTATTTTAAGAACATCCAGTATTTTCAAATTATGAAGAGGAAAATTATTTTTACGGCCTGTCCAGCTACATTTTGTAGCCAATTTGTCCGTGAATATTTTTTTTAGGCCTCTTCTTATTAATTCTTTGTAACTTGACCCTCCAAGCAAGAACAGAGCAGTTTCCTAAGGTAATGAATACATTTTTATTATTAATGTAAAATATACTAATCCAAATTAAGTACACTTACATTCTGGCGTTCTACACTTTTGTCAGTCTTTAGTTTTTCATCAAACTCTTTCAACTTTTTGAACTTTGAGAATGGTTTCTTAGGTACCAAGTCAAAATCGGTAATTATGTCATCATTTTTTCTCATTGTTTCATCTGAAGTTAGCCTCTCCAACATTGTTCTTATTGCAACAGTATTGCTTAAAATTGATTTAATTAATGGAGATTCTGGAAAATACATGAAATAGAATGGAATGTAAATTCCAATAAACCTACATTTAGTACTTACCTTGGCAGTTGCAACTACAATGTGACGGGGCAGCTGATGGAACCAAGCTATGATTATTATTGTTTTCTAGAAAAAAAATGTTCATTAAAGCCTTGACTACAACAGGAAAAAAAACTTACCCTTGTCGATGGCACTCACTGAGGTTAATGAAGTAATAACATTTGATGCCATTTCAGTTGAAACTGTGCGAATGATTGTTGCTGAAAGAGAAAAATTAATAAAGTATATTATGCCTGTTTAAACTGAATTACTACTTGTTTGGGAATCAAATGATTTATTTGCTTTTTGAGATGAGAACGACTCTATTTTCTTATTGGTACTGTTATTGTTTGGTTCAGAATTATTCACTTTTCTAATTTTTGGGGACTCTATAGTTGGAGGCGGTGTAATTACCCCTGTTACATCACTCTCACTATCATCAGAGTCATTAAATAAAAAAGGACGTTTTTTGGCTTTCCTATGGCCCTTTCCCAAGGGCTTATTTGTTTCTGGTGCACTTTCTCCTTCAGACATTAGTCTTATGTATTCTCTTGCTTCTGAATATGAATCTAAAAAAAAAAAAAATTAATGAATGAAAACAGGTAGAGGCTCAAAAGTACTAACCAGTTTGTTTTAGAATAACCACTTCCAGTTTGTCCCAACTTTCAGAATCAGGAATCGATCGACCAATAATTTTTTTGCCTGCATTTTTTCTAGGCCAGAAGCAAAGAGCAATGTTGTTTTCCTTCAGATTGTGGATGGACAGCCATGTTGATGGAACATGTGATATTTTGTCATCACAAAGAAATTTAACAATAGACCATTCCTTAAATTTAAAAACTGCTTAGGCTATTTACATTTTTTACTATAACTAACTAGTCCAAACAAACGGAAGTACAGAAATACCAAATTAAATTACAAATTAATGATACAAAATAATTAAAATTATATAAAAAATAACTTAAAAAATTTAACAATGAATTAATGGAATAATTACAATACCATCCACAGTTTGGAAATGAAAACATTTTCCTTTGATCTCACATATTTTATAATTTTGACTTTTCTTTGAGATGTTTGTTACTATGCTTATATTAAAAATTGTGGAGGAGCATGGACTTTCATAGTATGGATTAACATTTTGTGCATTTGTTCCTGAAACAAATATTTCATTTGTTGAATTATCTGTGTAGATTTTATCTATAAATACGAAAGTTTCATTATGCAACAAAACGCAATTATTTTTTGGATGCAAACTAAGCTCAAAATTTCCAATTTGCAATCTTTTAAAAAAAGTGCAATTTGGATAGCCTGGCAAATACATTGCAATTTCTTGGTGAAGTATAATGGGGCTTATTTGATCTTTTACTGAATGGTATTAAATTTAATTCTTTTTCTTTCAAGCGATTGCACAGTTGCTGCAGGGGATGCTTAGATGTTTTCATAATTTTTTTCAAGATATATAAATAGTTTTCAAATCGAAATGAACTAAAATTATCAAGGACTCCATGTTTAATGCAGTCCGAAGGTAGATGTAAAAGTCCATGCACATTATGGGATACATACTCAGCACCATAAATTACTGCAAATTTTTCAATAAAATATTTCAATAGTTGAGATGCATAATTATTATATGTAATATACAAATTTGCACTACACAAAATTCTGATAGCAACATGCAAACACATAAAATGTGAGTATTGAATTTTAGATAAATTATTTTTTAAAACAAATGGTCCTGTATATAGTAAAATTTGCCTGAATTCGGTTGCTTTAAAATGATCAACTTCTTGCAAACCTCTTGGCAACCTACAAAACTCCTTTGGAATACTTGATTTTAAAGTGATTAAATTTTCGTCAACAGTTTTAAGTTTTAGTTCAGGTAATCTGACACTTTTATTTCCCTTAACCCAAAAAATAATCAGACGTTTCATAACGCCTAGGCATACTAAGTGCATGTAGTCCAGTGGCACCTGAGACACTAAACCCACAGATAGTTCATCAAAAGGACTATTTCCTCTGTGATAGTCTTCACAAGTTTTATTTTGAAAGTCGTCATCTGTACGCAAGACAGCTGATAGATCCGGAAAAGTCACTCTGCCATTTATATATTCACCTTCTTGCACACACTTTGTACAACTAAAATAACCAGTATGACCCTTCACACATAAAATAAAGGACTTCGCTGGTGCGTCACATATTATTTTTGAAATTTGTACTTTCACTTCGATGTTTTTGAAGCGAAAGCCGTTTTCTAGTTGTTTGAATTCGATCTGAAACTCCTGCAGGTACTTCAAAGCTGACTCTGGTTTTTTAAAACCATGATAAACTCCTATTGGAAATGGATTGGGACATTCTAAATTTTCATTATCAATGCTTATCAAAATTGGCCAAAACTGACTTGTTGAACTCCTTGACAGTGGTAAACCGTCAATATTAATGCTGAGCGATAAGGAAAGGGTTTTTCCGTCTTCGCAAAACTCTAGCAGATTTTTGGTATTTAATATATTCTGTAACATATATTTTAATCCAAAATGACAATATTTTCCTGGGGACACAACAGATATTGGAAACTGACAAGATTGTGGAGTACTTAAAAATGTTCTGCTATCACTAGGTAAAGTTTTACATTTGGGTTTTAAAATTAAAAGCAGTTCGTTCATTGCACTTTGGCTTAGAAGTTCACGGTACTTCAAAAACCAGCCCCGTACAGATTTCACAAATTCAGTATCAGCATCATTTTGGTTTTCTTGAATACTCTCACTCTCAGGCAAAAGATAATAGTTGGGATAAATACAGGGATAACTAGTTGCAGTAGTTGCAGTGGTAGATTCCTCGATTCTTGTATCTAAATATGTTTTATTCTCAATGTGATTGCACAGGCCATCCAGTTCTTCACTTATTGGTTCACCACAAGAATCATCTGGTGCTATTTTTCGGGTACAAAATGAACTTCTGGATTTTGCTAATTCTTTTTCCACTTCCATATTAACCAAACGCCGAAGATGTCTTTTAGACACCATCTTTTTCTTTGTGCGTCCCATTTGTTCAAAATTGGGTTCAAAATAATGTAAAAATCTTACAAAAATTAGACTGATGAATTGAAATAAAGAGAACACAAGTGCAAAGTTGGCGCGAAAGAATTGCACATTAAAAAATCGTTAGCTTAGTCCCAAAAATTGGAGCGAAATTCAGTTTGTTTGGTTCCAGAATAATTATAGGTTAGCTTTAGAATTTTTAGAATTTTCAATGGATTTCACCAATTAAAATAAAAAAATCAGATTACTTACCAATGTTTTTGGAGCATCATCATCAGAAGCACTCATTTCGGGTTAATTATAATAATTTTTTTTTATTTTATTTATAATAATTTGGACGGACAAGACAATAACACCTCCACTCCACTCCACTTCCCGAATGACGCGATGACATATCAATTGATATGACATATGACAGTATGCTGACGGAGTATGGAAACACTACACTACACAAATAACAGACAGAGACACAAATATGAGAATTTTCACTCCATCACGTTTTTGTTTAGGACTATTGCTTTCTTTTTCTATCGCATGTAAACTGAGTTAGATAGAAAATCACCAGCAAAAAAAAGGAAGTCCAGTTGAGTTTTTCAGCAGTCAGCTTGATTTGATAGTACGGCTTATTTCTTCTTTAACCGAAACCGGTGTTTTCCTGACTAATCCTAGTGACGAATGCTCCTACACGATTCCTAAAGTCTGTTTTTTATTAAAAACAAATTCACAAATCATAAATTCAGTAACTATATTGGCAACACAAGCCTTTTTTACGTAAAAAATTTGAAATTTTGAGAGAATTGACAGTTTTACATTGTATTGCCAACATAATGTCATTTTAACTTTTGTCTTCAATAAAAAAACTGACTTTAATAAATGAAAATTCCACTAGGGTATTAATAAAAACAGTAGGTTTTGGTATAGGTGTTATTTATGGAATTAAAAAAAAAAAATTAAATGTTTCAGAAACATTTTTTAAACTTATTTGTTTTATGTTACATTTGTGCAATATTTTTGCAAATATGAAATGTTTCAAGAATGTTTCATGTTTAGCGGGTAAGCTTATTTGAGGAAGTAGGTTTTTTTAGTAAACCTGTACCTGCCAACCGTGGGTGCCCATCTAGGCCCACCCAATAACTTTTTTTGCCCACCACCCAAAAAAAAGTTATTGGAAAAATAAAATTCTGGCAATAATTTTTTCCCAGCACCCCCAAATTTGAAAATCAGCAATCTTAAATAACAGTTCGTTTGCCCATCGATTGCGCATGTTTGCTCACCCAATAATTTTATTTGCCCACCCTTCCAAAAAAAGTTATTGGAAAAATAAAGTTTTTGGTTTTTCGTGAATACCGTGGAACCGGTAGGTTTTTTCGCATACTGCTTCGATACCATTGGGAAGTAATTGAAATTACCTACAAAATGAGTGCTCAAACACTCATCTACTGTGAATAGTTTACCGTCAATCCAACGACCAAGTTGACCGCGCGCGCTTAGGAAGCGTCAGAGCAAAAAACGCCTAGAGACATTTTCGACGTATTTTTAGCTTCCTAGATATAGGAAGCTATGGTGATAGCCTGATTTTGAACATGTCAAAATTTCATTAAATCTTGACGTTTTGGATCATTTTAAGCCTTTTTGGCAAGGTGGCACATTTCCGTCTGTGTGTATGTATTGTTTGACCAGCGGATCTGAGTCTACGGAAGGAATTCGGACATAAATGTGCCATGTTGTCACGTTTAATTATAAAAAAAGCGAAAATACTAGGCATGAAGTATAGTTCATTTGAAAATCCATTTTTTAATAACAAAATATTGATAACAATAATAAAACGCTAAATATTTTAACGTGGTTGTTAGATCTATTCTTATTTTAATCCTGATTTCTTCAATTTGGTCTATTGTAAAAATAAACATTTTCTAAAGATACCATCAGCTTTTGACAATTTGGCAAGCATCCGGCCTGGATGAACCTGATTGGTGGAGTTTTTGGCATGATTACCGTTGCCAGGAGGAACCACGCGGTTGTCAATGGGTTAACGTCACCTTATGTCTCGCTATTGGCCAGGGCTTACGTCATTTTATCCTCCCATCTTGGAATATCGATTTATATTGAAATATCCAGTGGCGGAGGTTTGGTCATTGTCGATTTTCGTACACGAGTTGCAATATGACAACACTTCCAAAAAGTTTCGCACGCAGCTGGGTATTTTATGAATGAAATCAGCCATTTTTTTTTACAACTGCATTCCCCTCACCGTTGCCCCGTAGACACAGAGTCGCTGGGCAGACATTATGTACTATGGCCGAGTTCGTTTTTGTCATCTTTTTCGTCGATTTGCTCCGAAATTTTGACAGGCACGTGATTTATAAACTGAAACTGTCTTACCAGTCACGTGAATGTCAAAATTTCGGAGCAAATCGACGAAAAAGATGACAAAAACGAACTCGGCCTATGTATGTGTGTGTGTTGGCATTTTTCTGAGAAAACGGCTGGAATTTTGATTATTAGGCTTTTTTTCGTATCTTCAGTAATAAGGGTGGGGGAAGCTGGTGAATTTTTTTTTTTAGAAATTGCTGTATCTTCCATACCCCTCATTCAAACTCATTCAATTTGGGTTTATTTGGAAGAGAATTTCATTGTTATTAAGAACACGACTTCGTTCGAGGTCAATAGTTCCACCGAATCTTCTAGAGGGCGCTGTTTATTCAAGATACAGTTTTTTCTAATTTTCAAGATAAATCCAAATGGCATAATATTATTTTTGTATTGCTGTGCTTAAAGAGCAAAAAAATATCTACATTTTGGCGCAAACCGCAATTCAATATCTGCATTCGTTTTCAAGTTACGTAAGGTCTATGGTCTCCATAATATCGTACCTGGCCGACCTTAGTGGGACACCCTGTACTACAAACCAAATTTCAACGCGATCGGACCAGCGGTTCGGCCTCGACGAATTTTTGAAAATTAATTTTTACCATCGATGGGGGGGCTAATTACATCACTGCTTCGGGCTAAGGCCCTTGGGACGTCATTTTTAGATCACAGAGGGGGTCCGTTCTCGAGATATTGCGATTTTTATGTTTTTCTCCCCCTCCAAAATTTTTCAAAAATTCTTCCCCCCATCCATTCGATAGAGGAACTTTTTCTCTACTTCCCCTGAAAATTTCATTTCCCCCCCCACCCGTTTGGGCTGTACAGGGGTCGAAAGTCAAAACTTTGACAGCCCCCCCAGGGTATTCCAGGGGAGGGGCGGGATGAAATTTGTTTTGGCTCGACAAAATTAAAAGTTCTAAGTCCCCTGAAAATTTCAACTTTCTAGCTTATCGGGAAGTACAACATCGGCGCGCGCGGTCAACTTGGTCGTTGGATTGACGGCAAACTATTCACAGTAGATGAGTTTTTGAGCACTCATTTTGTAGGTAATTTCAAGTACTTCGAAATGGTATCTAAGCAGTATGGGAAAAAACCTACTGGTTCCACGGTATTCACGAAAAACCAAAAACTACCCCCCACTTTTTACCTTTGACCGGCCATTGTGATTTACCCAATCGTCCTATGATTTTATTATCATTAGATAGATAATTTTATTTACCACAAATTTGATCTCTCGGACTTGACGGTACGGGCGATAGCACCGAAGATAAGGAATTAAAACGAACTCAACCCTACATAAAGAGGGGGTAGTATCTTCCCCCATCCCCTCGAATACGAAAACTCAGTTTTAGACTCAGGATATGCCCCCGAACACACCCTCAAAATTTCAGCCATTAAGTATTTTTTTTAGTAAAATATCCCCATTCACTGTACATTTTTTTTTTTCCGGAGTGGTCGGCAGTCAACCTGTTAAAGGATATTTAATCCAAGTGGAGCTTTGAATGTGACTTTTGTTTCTACAAGAGTCACATTCAAAGCTCCACTTGGATTAGATATCCCTTAAGTTATAGCGGTTCAAATGGCCGTAAATAATATAACTTTGTTTAGCTTGGAATTAATGGAATTGGCAGCAGTCTGAACAGTCGGCAGTGTATGCTTCAATGGATTTGAAAGTTCTAAAATTCATATAACATACAAAATAAGAGGATGGATATCGTACAAAAATGTAAACTGTTTATTCAATTATTTATTGAAATGTTAATAATTCACATGGCTTCAAAATACTGATATTTGGACTTATATCTATAACATTGTTTTTTTTTTCATTACTTTCTTTAATAATTCTAATCTCTTTCTAGGTATATTGGTTTCCATTATACATATCTATGTATTGTATCACGATTTGGAATCATATCGCACACATGTGTAGAAAAAGCCGTCATTCTCAAACCTAACAAAACTAAGCATGGGAAAACATTATCCGATAATAATGTGAAACGCAGCAATTGGTGCAACAACAGCGCTGGGAAGAGCATCTATTACTTTGTCTCGCATAACGTCACATAATTGCCAGTGATCATTTTTGCGCAAGACGTAAGCTACAAAATGTTTACTGAAAAAGTGAATCAAAGCCATAAGTCTAAAAAAACATTATATTATTAGTCATGTAAATACTGTATAACTCTTCCCTCAACTAATAACACGATGTTCATACCTGTATTGTTTACCACCTAGTTCCATAGTGATTGGAGTTTCCTTCAATTTACACGTCATTGTAACTTCCGCATTTCCTGCTATATCTCGTATATTCAACTCTACAAATAAACGATTAGTGAGAGTTTGGCCAATAGTTTGACGACCTGTCGAGAGGAACATCGACTGTTTTTGCCGCAAATATGTCGATTTTTTTTACTTTCCATTGACTGAGATAAGCTACTAACGCTTGTATCCAGCGGACCTAGTGAAACTATTTTTTGGTAAAGAGTAATATACCTACAAACTAGGGTGGAATTGACCTTATTTTATTACTGAGATTGAAAACTTACCATTTATTTTATTTGGTTCAGTTTCATCGTACA